AATTTAATAAGAATAATTAATAATAATAAATCTTAGTTTAAAAAAAGAACAGGAATGTTTTTCCCCATCATTCAATAAACATTGGCCCCTTTGAGATAATACTACTTGTACTGAAAATACATGGAGCAGGGCTGTAGAGATGCCTCAGCAGTTAAGAGCATGTACTGCTCTTGAAGAGGACGTGAGCTCAGTTCCCAGCACCCACACCAAGTGACTGCTCACAGCTTCCTGTAACTCTGGCTCCTTGGGATCCAACACCCTATTCTGACTCTTTCAGACTCCTGCACTCACACATGCACAATCCCACACATAGACACATAATTTAAAAAATGATAATAAGCCGGGCGGTGGTGGCGCACGCCTTTAATCCCAGCACTCGGGAGGCAGAGCCAGGTGGATCTCTGTGAGTTCGAGGCCAGCCTGGACTACCAAGTTAGCTCCAGGAAAGGCGCAAAGCTACGCAGAGAGACCCTGTCTCGGAAAAACCAAAAAAAAAAAAAAAAAAAATGATAATAAATCCTTAAATGAGAAAAGAGAATACATGTAATAGGTGGAGAAATAGGAGATAAATCTGATTTGTGTTGTACTCATTTTAATACATATGCTAGTATATATTTAAAATAAAATTTCTCTTGAATAACAACTGTTTCAGTTCAGTAGTACTGTGGGCTTTTAATTTTCAGCCACAAGGAGCTTCAAAATCTATAGTCTTAATTATCTTCCAATTTGAATAGTTAGAAGATTGGGACCTCAGGAGGTACTGGTGACTTTAATCTTCTTTCTGTGGAACTCTTGGCGTTTAAGATACTGCCCCCACCCCCTTCGTGTGTTTGTCCTTTGCTGTTGGTTCCTTCCATTTTTTTCCTTTCCTTCTTATTTCCTCCCTTCTCTACATTGATCTCCTTTCTTTTCACTCAGGACTACGAGAGTAAATTGCAGGCCTTGCAGAAACAGGTTGAGACTCGTTCTCTGGCTGCAGAAACAACTGAAGAAGAAGAGGAGGAGGAGGAAGGTGAGAGCTAGGGCCTGAAACTTTGCCTTTTGTCTTTTTTAACCAGTCTTATCAAGTCAGTCCTTTAGCCTGCCCTAAAGCTGGGTTCCTCAGATTTGCCTTCTCTCTGTTGACCTTGTACTGAGCCTGCTACAAGATGTCCAGTGCTGCCACACTAGGCTGCGTTCTGTAGGGTAGCGGAGGACTGACAGTGTTCCTACAACTTCGAAGGTTTCTAGGACTGTCTGCATATAATCTTTTGGGAACTTCACATAGACCGACACTCAACATCGCATGCTTGACCTTCCTGGGTCAGTCTCATGTAAATATAGAGCTTAATCATTGCTTACATAGTTTGTTCAATTTTCTAGTTCCCATCAGAGATTCCTTGCTGAGGATCTTGGAACGTAATTGGTGTACCCAAAGCCATTGCTGGTAGATTGGTTTCATTATGACAAAATCTTGCCAGGTAGCCATGTGACATTGACTGGCCTGACACTGTTGTAGCCTGGCCTTGAACTAAAATCCTGCCACCACGTCCCAGATTTGCTGGGATTATAGGCATGAGCCACTAAGGCTGGCTTATTCCTGTCAGATGGCTGATGGTATTGTCTAGTCATGCTTGCCTATCTTAATTTTCCAGAACTTCTTAGCTGATTTGGGGCCTTTTGTTGTTAGTTATTTTCAAGTTATGAAACTGTACAATATAGTAAAGAAAGACCAGGGACTTAAAAAATTGTACCTACACATTAGAATTATATTTTTAAAAAAAAAAAGGAAAAAGAAAAGGGGGCTGACAAGATGGCTCATCAGGTAGGGTTGCATTTTGCCAAGCCTGGTATGCTAAGTTTGATCTCTGGAACCCACATTGTTAAAGCAAAAAACTGAGTCTTACAAGTTGTTTTTGTTTGTTTGGTTTTCAAAACAGGGTTTCTCTTTGTAGCCCTGGCTGCCCTCGAACTCAGATCCACCTGCTGCTGCTCACCGGATTGCTGAGATAAATGTGTACCATCAGCCATCTGACAGGAATAAGCCAGCCTTAGTGGCTCATGCCTATAATCCCAGCAAATCTGGGACGTGGTGGCAGGATTTTAGTTCAAGGCCAGGCTACAACAGTGTCAGGCCAGTCAATGTCACATGGCTACCTGGCAAGATTTTGTCATAATGAAACCAATCTACCAGCAATGGCTTTGGGTACACCAATTACGTTCCAAGTTGTATTTGAGCCTCTACATGCAGCTGTGGCACATGCTCCCTCCTCCAATAAATAAATAACTACAGTGGAAAGTTTACAATAAATAAACATAACAAAGAGTCCGCTCTTTTAATAAGAGAGATGTGTGTGATCCCAGCACTTGGAAAGTTGAGCAGGAGGATGAGGAGTTCAAGGCCCGTCTTGAGTACATAGCAGATTTGAAGCCAGCCTGGGCTGCATGAGACCCTGTCTCAAACAAACCAAGCAACCCAGACCTGTATTCTTCTGATTGTCGGTTTTCCTGAAGTATATGTACTGTACAGGAGGGATGAAGGTTGTCGTGGTTATGAAGTCACTGTTACATGTGCTCCCCCTGCTCTTTCAGTTCCTTGGACACAGCATGAGTTTGACTTGGCCCAGTGGGCCTTCCGGAAATGGAAGTCTCACCAGTTTACCTCATTAAGGGACTTACTCTGGGGCAATGCAGTATACCTGAAGGAAGCCAACGCCATCAGTGTGGAACTGAAGAAGAAGGTATGGAGGGGGATCTGGAGGCAGAGTGGGTCGACTTCAATTAGATGAATAGCCTTAAATTAACCTTTCACTTGGGAGAACTCAGCTGTTCTGTGCCATGAAACAGCTTCATTCTGTATATGTGCCAGCACAACATAGGTAGTAATGAAAAGTTACAGTAGTTTTCTGGCTCATTTTACAAATCTGAGGTTTTTAAATAAGAACTGGATAAACCCATTAATAGATAAATGCTTCTTTTGGATTTCTGGGGGAAAAAGACCTTGGTTTTCTTTTTTTTAATTGTGCATTCGTGATTTGCCTGTGTGTATGCCTGTGTAAGGGTGTCAGGTCCCCTGGAAATGTAGTTAGAGACAGTTGTGAGCCACCATGTGGGTGTTGGGAATTGAACCCAGGTCTTCTGGAAGAGCAGTCAGTGCTCACAACCTCTGAGCCATCTCTCCAGCCACTTGGTTTTCTTTCAGTTCTCTAACTTTAGCTTGTAACTCTGAGACCTCTATGCCCCTTTGTCACCAATTTGCTCCTCTCCTGAGAGGCCTGAGAGGCACGGATTGGCAGACAAATGTATGCGCTCTGTGCTGAGACAGCCAGCAGCAGTTGACCGAATAATTACATACCTCTATTGCCTCATCTACAAACTGGGGTTGCAGCAGAAGCTGCCACTGGGGAGGTGGGAGAGAGAATGGGTGCATACAGAAGTCTGCTAACAGTGCCGAGACACGCTGAATGACCCAAACTGCTGCTGGTGACTGAACACAAGGCCTTGTGCCTCCTGAGAAGCACTCTACTTGAGCTGAAGCTCCAGCACCTAAACACTGTTGTTAAATTTTCACATGGAGTCTTTGATTCTTCTGTGTGTGTCACTACTCAGCAGCTAGGGACCGTATTGTACAGTGTGAGAAATGCAGACTACCTCACTGGAAAGTTCATTTCCTTCTCCTAGGGGAGTGTTTTATATCTGTGAACTGGGGTAGGTGTCATCTTCACCATGATCTCAGAAACACTTTGTAATTATTTATTAACCGTTTTCTTCAGGGAGTGAACTACAGTCAAGAACTACATCTTTTCTTATTGCCGTACCTGTTGCTTAACTAGTATTTGTTGGTAAAAATACAAGGTAGCATAGCAAGACATAAATGATATGATACAGTCACAATACTTACTCTGTAGTAAATGCTTTTAAGAGTAATAGTTATTCTCCGCATTTAAAAAGCTACATGTGCATCCTCTCTCATTAGCAAATGACTGTGTCCTCCTCTGTCTCTTGGTTATGTTCCACAGGAGTCTTCACTCTCCCACTGAAACATATTTACTGAGGTTTTAGTTCGTGGGAGGGGAAATCACCACTCCAGGAAAACACAGTTTGTAAATAACTTAGTTTAAAATTAAGATTGTTCCATGAGTTTAAAATGTAGGGTCAGGTTTTCAGTTAGCCACAGCTGTTTATTAAACATATGCTCTATATTGGACTGTTTCCCTTAGTGATGCTGTAGAGCCTTGTCTCTGAATCGTGCCTGCTGAATAGTGATGTGCACACTTGTCCATCTTTATTCTCTCGCTCCAGGTACAGTTTCAGTTTGTCCTGCTGACTGACACGCTCTACTCCCCTCTGCCTCCTGAATTACTTCCCACGGAGATGGAAAAAACTCATGAGGACAGACCTTTCCCTCGTACAGTGGTGGCAGTGGAAGTCCAGGATCTGAAGAATGGAGCAACACATTATTGGTCTTTGGACAAACTCAAGTAGGAAAATATTCCTAAAAGACTATTTTTTAAAAGAAAATAGCCAGGTGTGGTACTGCATGCCTTTCATCCCAGCACTCAGGAGGCAGAGACAGGTGGATCTCTGAGTTTAGGGCCAGCCTGATGTACAGAGCAAGATCCAGGAAAGCCAGGACTGCACAGAGAAACTCTGTCTTGAGGGGAAAAAAAAGTGAATTGCTTAAGTGTGTTTGTTCCCTTATACTCACCTATTTCTGAAGATGAGGTCAGTTTCTCCTTTGTGGTTTCTAAGTACTGTGATCAGTCACCAATATTATCATCCATCCATTTTTTTTCTCAAATCAATGAAACTCGTTTCTTAGGCAACTTTGACATTTGTTGATTTTCAGATTTACTTTCATAAGCCCTCTTAAATTTTAAATGAGCCAATTCTGAATTTATTTCTATCTTAGATCCTCTTACTTTAGTCCTGGGCCTCATGGTAATTTTTTTTAAGTATTTTTATTATTTATTTATTTATGTGTATATATCTGTATATGTGCATGTACCTGAGGTTAGGGCCATACCCTGGAGCTGGAGTTACAAGCAGTTGTAAGCTGCCTGATGTGGGTGCTGGGAATCGAACTCAAGTCCTCTTATAGAACAGTACATGTTCTTAACCCCTGGGCTGTCTCTCTAGCCCCGGTAATTTTTAATAAACAAGTCTCATTTCTTTTACATCTAGTATGACAAAATAATTCCCACTATCTAGTTAAATTCGAGATGTCAAACACCATTGAACTGCATTTCTTCCATGACTGTAAGTTTAGTCAAATTAGATCTCTCTCTCTCTCTCTCTCTCTCTCTCT